CGCTCTTCCCCAGAGGGAGCTGGCCCTCAAAAAGTCCTAGACCTTAGGCATCAGGACATTTACGACGAAGACTATCCAGCGAGAATGACGGTCCGCAGACCCGCCTTCTGCTAGAAGCCTTCGGCCTGGGAGCGCCACTCTGACTCTAGACTCTGCGGAGTACGAGAAGTAAGGCCCCCAGAATGAGGTGCTGGAACATGGTGGGTTGGGACTGCTCCGCCCAGCAGCCCCTGCTAACCGCCTCAACCTCCTCAAAGGAAGAGAGGTTAACGCGTGCTCTCATTCGAGAAATTTATATCCCAAGTGCCCCTGTATATCTAACTTCTCATAGTCAGACAAATACTTCATTTTATTCCTCAGAATTAAATGCAATCAAACAACCAGACGAGTAAATACGGTCTAATGTAGTAAGATTCACATCAAAATCCGAAATGATGTAATATATATATAACCCATTCAATCACACAAACAACATCAATCTCCTCAGAGAAAGAGGGCTGCAGCACTCACTCAGAGGGGGAAGAACCGCAGCGCGGGCTTCCAAGCCCCGAGAACGAGCTCTAGATCTAGCGAACACGGGTGGAGATAGGAAGAGTCGTCTCCAACCCGTCTGCTAGATCATGAGCGATCTCCGCGTTCTCAGTCGCCGCCATGCCTCAGCAAGATCACAGGCACGGACACACTCCTCAGAGCGTGCCCGGCGAGAGCGGAGCGCTTAACAGCGGAAAAAGCATAATAGCATAATATCAGGCATAATATGCTTGTGTAACTGATGTTTTATGCAACTGGCGAGCTCTTTGACGCCCTCCGTATCAATCTTCTCGAAGAAAGACAGGCGGAGCGTCACGCCCTCTCCCCAGTGGGAAGGACCGCAGCGCGGGCTTCCGAAACCCAGAGAGTGGGCGCCGGATCTGGTGATTAGGAAGCAGATCCATACGCGAAACCCACGAGCACAGCCGCCGCTCCGCCTCGGCGAAAGTGGGGCCGGCACAGCAAGGAATGCTAGTGAAGGCTCCCTCCTCAAAGAGAGCCCTCTGAGAGCGAAGCAAGGCAGTAACAACTATGCTTCGCTCCCAAGCAAACCACACACAGGCTGCTCACCGCACCACGCCGCATGTGCTTTTATAGCTTCCTGGTCATGACATCACCCGCCCGTGACGTCCCGCTCAGCTATTGGATTGATTTCACATGTTATTCAGAGCGTGGTCACAGAAGGTGTTCCCCTAGCGTTTTCCGACGCAGCTCGAATTCCTGAAGAGGAACATGAAAACCACTACATCTACACAACAGTTAGTCTGATTGACTTGATTGGCATGCACTGTTCTTGTCCAAGTTGCCATGATGGTAAAGCGATTGTCCACAGGAAAAAAACATGAAAATGGCTATAACTACGCAATCGTTAGTCCGATTGACTTGAACATTGGCATGCAGTGTCTTGGTCGAAGGTGCCATGAATGTCTATGAGGACCTCTCAAAAAACATGGCTGCCATTGGCCTATGAAATTTGAGAACCTGTTTGACCAGGTTAACGGAGGCAGATCAAAATGAAACTTGGTGGGCCTGTTTGGCCCTGTCCCAAATTGAACACTTCATGTGCACTTGTGGTCTTACGGACTTACAATGGCCGCCGCGTGCGCATGTCCGTTAAGTCCACGAGACCGTAGGGTGTCCCATTTGTCATTTTAGCGTTCAGATGGGTGCTCACAAGCGACCCTTTTGCGGCCGTTATGCGCCCTCGATCCGCACTTCTGCCGAGCCCGCACTGGTGCGAGCTCCGCAGCAGACTTCTACCTGATAGTCAAAGCGGCATTACGTCACGAAAGTGCGGACTCAGAGGAAGACCACGAGGGTTTTTTCTCGTAACCTGTAATACAACATTTTTTTGCAATTATCAATGTAATCAATCAGCTGGGTAAGTAAGGCGATAACTATTCGTTATTTTTACCCTATTCACCTGCAGTGTCTCCACTGTCTCGCCTTAATATGCTTGAATCCCGATAAATGCTGCTTGCAGCTTTAATTTTATTTAATTTTTGCTGTGTTTCTGTTTGTACTTGCAGAAAGCGAAAAAATAAATAAATGTCTCAAGAACTTGCTGTAATTTTGACTGTTCAATAAAAAAATAAAAAAAAAACCTTCAATGCCAGATTTCAACGATCGGTCACAGATTCGTCAGTTCCGAAACTTTAGCACTAGCCTACATCAATAATCATTATTATGATGTAGCCTAGTGATATTATTGTTGAGATTTAAAAAGAAAAGTATTAAAATAATATAAAATAAAGACTAAAATAATGGATTTTATTACCTTTAACGACAGGAGTGTGTTAAAAAAAGAAGAAACCTCAAGCCATAGCCTACTTGTGTTGCATATGATTCGAACTGCGTATTCAAATCAATATTGAAGAGATTGTAAGTCACTAATTATTATAACGCTTTTCGTTTATTGAAATGGCGAATAAACGCATTTTTACAGTTATTCAAAAGGCAAGTAAATGATGTCCTACAGAAAGCAGGCTAAGAACATTAACATTATAAAAAGAACATTATCACTGATTTCTAGCGTGAGTTTAAGCTCTCTCAAAAAGCTACAGTTAATCAGATAATCATTGAAGCTGTCTACACTGTATAATAAATTAATCTCTAGCATCTCATGTACAGTCAGAATTCAGAGGGTGTGTGCACTAAACAAAACTGGCGTTTATCTGAAGGCCTCTGTTTGGCTAATTTCATTCATAAGCTCAACAGAATCGTGCGTGATTGGTTATAATGTGCAACGCTGTACAAATGCGTGAAAATAAATATGCCGCATTTAATAAATGCCTGATAGACACTTTTCAGTTCATTTTCATTTTATTAGCCATAGATTTTAAATTGAATTAAACCAGTTTAATTATGGGTATAACGTATGTTAAAGAACAGAATGTTCTTGTTTTGTATTATAGCACCACATAGTGCCCGGTGCATGTGGGGGTGCCTAAGTAGTGGGGGTTTCAGGAACCATCACACCAATTTTGAGATCTCTTTTAAACATTTAAATTACTTTTTAGACACTTTTAGAGCAAAACATGATGAATCAAGTAACTGGCAAAACAGTACAAATACAATAAATAAATAAATAGTCTTGAACCCCAAATTATTTTATGTATTAATTAAATTGGTTAAAACTAGAAGAAAGAGAAGAATCAATGGTGAAGAGTAAACCTCAACTCAAGCATCATTTGTTTGCAGATGCCAGTTGGGTTGATTTTTTTTTTTGGCGGTGTGTGACTTAAATGTCCGAAATATGTCCAAATACCTTTCAGGGCCACTGTGTGTGTGTATGTATACATGAGAAAATCAAAGAAGGCCTGCAGCCTGCAGAGCAGTACTCATGTTTATTTGAAAGGCTACTACCGTTGAATAAATCTGCAGTCTGTCTGCATGGTGAGCTCACCTCCTCAGCACAGATGTTCACTGAACGGCACACTGAGGAAATGCTGTGACCGCTTCTCTATTTTAACCCTCTCTCTTTATCTTAGCTCTTTTTTCTTGTTCTCTCAATCTGGCCTCACTCCACTTGCTTGCACAATATTTTGCTGGTAGTCAAAACACAATTGGATTGGTTTAATATCTTTCAATTAGCTCTGAAACAGGCAATCTGCATGATCTCTCAGCCTTTCTCACTCTCTGTAGAGATTATGAGGGTCAAAGTTCACATATCTTTCTGCTTTAGTCAGGCATACATATTCATGTGAAGGACATTTTTAAACAAATGTTGCCGTGCCAGTGTTAATTACAATCCCAGCCTATTTTTGAATGAGTATTTGCTAAATGTATGCAGAATTAAATGTTTTTGAAGACTGCTGTTTTGTTTTTACCTGGTATAATAGATGGCAGACAAATAAAAAAGTAATTACTTTATTACAAAAAGTTTTAAATGTTTTAACAAGTCTCCATGATGCCAACAAAATCTCCTGATAAGGCAGTATTTACTAAATTCAGAAGATTTTTGTAGAACAACAGTGCCATCTTGTGTTATTTTTGTGGTAGTGATTGAACTACTAACAGAAAACTGACCAGAAGCAGGGTACGATTTTTGGTTTGTGAGGAATTATGCTACCATTTAAAAGTTTGGGGTCAGTAAGATTTTTTTTAAAGAAATTAATGCTTTTATTCAAAAAGAATGCATTACAATGATCAAAAGTGACGGTAAGGATATTTAAAATGTTCTGTTTATCTTTCTATTTATCAAGTAATCCTGAAAAAAACACAGTTTGGACAAAAATATAAGGCCACACAATTAATTTCAACACTGATAATACAAAGAAAAGTTTCTTAAGCACAAATCAGCAAATTAGAATGATTTCTGAAAAATCATGTGACACTGAAGACTGGAGTAATGATGCTAAAAACTCAGCTTTGCCAGCACAGGAATAAATTAGTTTAAAATATATTAAAATAAAATAAAAACAGTCATTTAAATTGTATTTCATAAATTACTGTGTTTACCGTATTTGACATTTTTGATCAGATACATGATGCCTCGGTGAGCAGCATGTATTCATTGTTAACTTAATTTAAAAATATTTAAAATCTTATGACCCCAAACATTTTATGTTCATTTACACATTAAAAAAAAAACTTTCAGTAACCACAAATGCATATCATAACTTCATGCTAAACAATTGTGAACATTTGAATTGATTTAAGGAGTTACCCAACATACTCCATTCAACCCCTTTTGACAAAAATCACAAGTTCTGTCATTATTCATCACTTTAGGACTGTAAACTGGACAGCTCTATGGGAGAGGGTGAAATAAAGGCAAACATTTGCAGTAGAAAGCTTATTCCTAATTTTTACAGGTTCAATGAAACCTTTAAGCTTCTACATTTCATACCTGTAAAATCAGATATCATACCTTCCTTAGCAGCTTTCAGGTCATGTTTAAACATAGACCCTTCACACTTTATCAACTCCAACATAAATATCTATAAATATGTACCTTTTTGTCAATCAAGTTCATTCGTTTATGAGCAAGACTATGCACTGTAAAATCCAATAGTTTACCTTACTTAGATTTAATTAGTTATCTTTACTTAGTTGTTATACTTACTAGGTTTTATTAAGTTACAGCTACTTTCAAGGCAAATAAAACAATTTACTTACTGTTTTGAGTGACACTTACTTAAAATATTCAAGTAGCCACAAAGGAACCAATGATATTAATAAACCAGTGAGAGACAGCAGTGCATTAATATGTTGCTAATGTGCAACATAACAACAGAAGAAGAAGAAAGGAAAAAGAGTCTTAATACATTTTTCATCTATTTCCTCAATGTCTGCAGTTATCTTTCACTAGTTGCATTCACTTGTTTCCCAAAGTCATCTTGAATGTTGAATTTTCAATACAACTGAAATATTTGAGAGAACATCACACAAGCTGACTTCATAAATTGATGTTGATTTTCCCAAAATGTTTTTTTTAACTCACCATTAAAGTGATTAGCATTCCCTTTGGTTGAGCACTTGGAAATTTGTGGTAGTAAAATGTTCTCTCTGTTAGTGCAGCAATGCATCATGAAGTCAGAGTTATTTGATTTCAAGGGGAGAAAAGTAATAAATAAGTTGCTTTTAGAAGGTCATCTCTTTTCTAATTAAAACACTCTTTTTTTTAAAAAAAAATTCAAATTTCGTTTTTCAGAAATACCTTGAGATGCTTTAAATTGGATTTATGTAATCCTTAAATAATGTGTGGTGATATGCTAAAGTCACACACAGATTTAAACATTCGGCATGTGAATCACAACAATGGTATCAAATCAATTTACTTTATTTTCATCAATTGTAACAATAACCATTTTATCTGCTCTTTTTGTTGTGCTACTACTGACACAAGACAGCAAATAAAATTGGCAAATAAAATCAACTGTAAAACAAAGCAACTGCATAATTTATTCATGCCGCAATGCACTCTGGGAGTCAGTGAGTAGCTATACTAAGTCATGAGTAAACCTAAATGAAAGGATCAAGTACCCCCTACAGTTCTTTTTTAGTTACTAGAACTCTCGTGTAAGTAAACTATACTAACTAAGCTTTTGTCAGTACAACATACTATTCCTATTTCACTTTACTTAGTTTTTTCAAGGCAATCGGTTTGCATGCTTTTTTTAAGTAAGCCCAACTAATTAGATTTTACAGTGTATTTGTAAAAAACGCTGTAAACGTGTTGTTTTTGGTTCATGTTCCATTCCATCTATTTCATCCATTCCATCTACTTCCATTTCCTCTCTGCCAGGTCCACGAGGGTGCAGGAGGCTGTAATAGAGTCCCAGAAAACCCAGGCCCATTAAATTTGACACTAATATAAAAAATATAATTGGCAGGAAGTAGTCAGTCCGCTCAGATTCCGGTTTGAGCAGAAACAACAAAACGGGTGCAGCAAGGTTGTGACACACATTTAAAAAGTAATACATTGTCATGTGAACTCTGGTGTTCTCTCCTTTAATGTTAAAGAAGGTGAACATGAGAATAACTCCAACAACGGCTCGATAAAGATGTTCAAGGGCTCGTGAAGTGCAGAAGCTGGTCTCCTCCAAGAATGCCCAGATGGTTCCCAACAGCCATATGCAGGCCATTGTTACAATACTGAAGGTGGAGAGCATGATGAAGAGCGTGAGGCTGAGGATTCGAGGGGTTATGGTAAAGATTTTGTAGGACAGATATACGACTGTTGGGATTCCAGAAGGCATGTTGTTAAGGTGAGTTAGAGATTGCCGTAAACAGCGACGATAGTCTACCGTGGCCCAGGCTATGGTGAGAAAAGACAGGGCCATGCTGATGTCTAAAATTAAACAGAGAGATTTTTTAAATGACAAATCAGCCTGATTATTGGTCAAAAAATGGTCTTTTACAATCATATGTAGGGACAAAGTGGCCCCCAAAAAATTCATAAGGCTCAGTTTAAAATGTTACTGCATTTTTACAGTACACTTTCAAGCAAAACATTTTAATATATATATATATATATATTAGGTTTTAAATTGATATAGCTGCTGTTATTATCATTTTAAAATAATTCAAACTTACATTACCATTTAAAATTATGGGGTTGGTAAGATTTTTTTATGTTTTTCGAAGATGTCTCTGATGCTCACCAAGGCTGTGTTTATTTTATGAAAAATACAGTTAAAAACAGTAATATTGCGAAATATCATTACAAATTAAAATAGCAGTTTTTTAATATACATTTTAAAATGTAATTTATTCCTGTGATGCAAAGCTGAATTTTCAGCAGCCATTAAGTCTTCAGTGTCACATGATCCTTCGGAAGTCATTGTCAACACTTCTTATGATTATCAATTTTGTAAACAGCTGCTTAATATTTTTGTGGAAAGCATGATATACTTTGTCAGGATTCTTTGATGAATTGAAAGTATAAAAGAACAGCATTTATTTTAAATTGTTGTAAATGTCTTCAATGTCAATTTTGCCCATTTAATGCTGAATACAACTATTAGTTTCTTTAAAAATAAAAAAATCGTAATAACCCCAAACTTTTAAAATGGTGGTGTATTTGTCAAAATTCTGATTCTTCTGATAAATCATGACTAGATTTATGTGCATGTAGTGATTGTGTCTGTGCAGGACTCACATTGCAGATTAGAGCGATGGTTGTGCTCCAGTATGATATAAGCCTGCAGAATGAGTTGAGGAATGCTCTCCAGGAACGTCTCAAACATGCGGAGCATGCTAAGATCGGTAGCAAGACCGATAAGCTGTGACTGCTCCTCCTGTCCCGAACGCAGGCCTCTAAATCTCTTTGTCAAGAGATGGAGATACCTTAGAATAACAGATAGGCAACAAAACAAAATTTAAATAAAATTTAACAAAAATAAATAAATAAAAACAATTCATTAATGAATAGCCCAACCAAATGTGTGAATGTTACATTTTCATTTGCTTTCCTCCTTATTTTAAAGCAGGGGTTCACAACTCTGGCCCTCAATGTCCACTTTCTTGCCAAATTTAGCTTCAACCCTAATCAAACACACCTGAACATGCTGATGGTCTTCAGGATCACTAGAAAGTTACAGGCAGGTGAGTTTGATCCAGGCTGGAGCTAAACTCTGCAGGAGACTGGACCTCAAGGGCCAGAGTTGGGTATGCCTGCTTAAAAGAGACATTTCTTAATTTACAGTTACACACATTTTCAAAACGTTGCCTCTTTTTTTCAAAACTTTACAGACAAATCCAAGAATTGCACCCACAAAATGCAAAATGCCTCACGTCTCTTGCAAAATGAAGCACTGCATTCAAAATATCACAAACATCTCAATTCTCAAAAGCAAACATTTGCAAACACCTTTGCCATAATATTAATTCCTGATAGATTTTTGTGTGTTACATAGAGAATTGTGTGTTGTGTTTTGCAAAAAGTGTTTTATGAAATTGGAAACTGAATCAAAGGCTGAGAATTAGTATAGAGATTTCCAGATTTGGTGTGTGCTTCTGCTGTTCGGTTTCAGAAATTGTGTGACGAGTAAAGATTTTGTCTGTAAGCAGTTGAAAAAAACGTATATAACAAGTCTATAACAAGACAGGATTTTTATTTTGGATGAAATATAATTTTAATATTTGAAATATTAGGTCCACACATTTCAAATTGATTCAAATGATAATCATATCATATCATATCATATCATATCATATCATATCATATCATATCATATATATATATATATGAACTTAAGACACTGTCTTAACATAGAGGCTAAGTTTATGCGACTGGTCCCCCAGGTCTATGTGCAATTTACATAATAAATGCAACATGTTGTCATGTACTATTTTAAAGAAAACATCCTGAAAGTACATAAATCAAGTACTTACTGTTTTCATGTTGTAAAGTAAATTTGACATCAGGACAAAATTCATTTGCTAAGTTTCATTATCCGGCAGTGAGCGATAATCATACAGTATGCTGTTGTTTTGAGATAAGCCATAAACTGTCACTTTACAATGCTCCCGAGTGTAATATTAATTTACATTTACTCTCAGTAGCTGTCAGGAAATGTTCAAATTGTAAGAAATGTCATTCGGAACTTACCAGGGTTTCCATTCTTCTGCTTGCTCATATCAGCAGTGACGATGAGTCTCTGGTTTAGACCACATGATCTCTCATAATTCATATGACAGAACAAACCACTCCCTTTCTGAGCTAATCCTACAGTTACTGTGTGATGTAACACACACCCAAATACTTCTTTAGATATATGCAAGGGCTGGACCAATGAACAAATACAGCAATCATTCATTCCCTGACACCCTGGATACAGAAGAAATGTCTTTCATTCTCCCAACTATAATACTCACAATTTTCAATCTCCTCAGCCTTCCTATTATTTCAAACCAGGAAATAACCACACATTCTTCATTGCTGAGATCCTAAACTGAAACTACCACTTAACTACCGTCTAACCACATGCTGGTAAAGACCTGTATTTATGTGTGTTTGGCTGTTGTTTGTGTGAACAAAAAAATTAAACATAAGGAAATGCCTGTTTTGGTATGCAGCTTTACGTGTTTTACAGAATGAAACAGAGTTCCAAATCATACTTCATGTTACAAAGTCTTTCGGGTCATTGCATCTCCTTTCGTTGATTACATTGTCTTTGGTTTGTCATTAAATTGTTTTCTCCATTTTTACTCATTTAAGCAACTTGTTTAAACACTTGATTCAGAATACATGCCACAACACCATCTTACATTAGCAGGGCATCCACAATTATTGCTTGATCTCAGTTTGTGAACTAATTTGTATGAAAAGAATGAATATAATATAGTCGAGAATGAAATTAGAATGATTTCTGAAGGATCATGTGACACTGAAGACTGGGGTAATAGCTGCTGAATATTCAGCGTTGCATTACAGGAATAAATTTCTTTTTAAAATATATTAAAATAGAAAACGTTTGTTTTTGTAATAATATTTTTCCATATTTCTGTTTTACTGTATTATTTATAAAATAAATGCAGCATTGGTGAACAAAAGCAAATTCTTTAAAAAAGTCTTAAGAATTACAAACTTTTGACCTGTAGTGTAATGAATAAAATGTGATATAATGTATATTAGTATTATATAATATTATATTACATAAAAGTTTGTATGTGTGTGTGTGTGTGTGTGTGTGTGCGTGCGTGTGTAAATTTTAAGTTTACTTTAACAAAAGCTAAAGATAAGCAGCTGACATTCAGCTGAATGTTTCATGTTCCCTCTTACAAAATAACATAAGTATATGACTTTATTAAATTATTAATGTCCATTTGTGCACAAAAAAAGTATTCTTGTAGCTTCATAAAATTAAGGTTTAACCGCTGATGTCACAAAGACTATTTTAACAATGTCCTTACTACCTTTCTAGGCCTTGAACGTGGTAGTAGTGTTGCTGTCTATGCAGGGTGTGTGAAACGACATGAGGGTGATTAATTAATGACAGAATTTCATTTTTGGGTGAACTAACCCTTTAATGTCTTTGCAGTGTAAGAAATGATATACTACAGTATATCAAGACTGTCTGGTGCAGTCTTAACAACCTGGAGCTGAACACTTTCTATTCCTATTCTATCTATAGCACACCTGTACATACAATGTATTCTTTTTTTGTGGTTTATATTTATGCATGTGTATTTTATTCACATCTTATTTTTATTATCTGTGTGTTGTTGTTGTCTCCGTGTACTGGAAGCTTGTGACACTATAACAAATTCCTTGTATGTGCAAACATACTTGGCAATAAAGCTCTTCACGCACTTCACGCACTTCATGCACTTGTCTACAGTATGTAGGCCTAAATACACAAATACACATATTAAATAATAGATTTTACTGTCTGGTAATAATGACGATGTTAATAAAACAAACATGTATCTCTTTTTGTTTTTATTCATTAATTTCACTATTATCCTCCTTTCTATCCACTAAAAAGGGCTCTTGATCTCAAAATGAATAAAACGTCTTCTTTACTCCAATCCAACGGATGGCGCTACTGCATCTTTTGTCACTGTACAACGTGCCTTAAATTGAAAAAAAGGGGGTGGAAGAAGAAAGACAGAAGTAGGCGTTAAGACTGACGTGCCTGCCAGATAACAATAGTGAAGACGTGTTCCTCACTCACTCACCACCAAAAGTTCTCTCAACATCCACCAAGATGGGCATCCGAAAAAAGAACAACAAGAACCCACCGATGCTCAGCCACGAGTTTGTGATCCAGAACCACGCGGATATTGTGTCTTGTGTTGCTATGGTGTTTCTGCTGGGTCTTATGTTTGAGGTAAGAATCCACTTTTGAATGAATTCATACACTCTTACAGATTTAAGACCAGTCTGGAGTCAAAGATGACAAATCAGCCTGATCAGTGTTTATGGTTTTGCTTGTTTTCTATAAGAAATCTAACGGATCGTTCGTGTTCTGTCATAGTCTCGTCCCTTTCACTTCCTTTAACTGTTACTTTTTGGGTTTACCGTTAATGTGCAGCATTTTTTAATCCTCTTGCATATGTATGATTCATATAAATGAATCTTTTAGAGTAGGTTTGACTCTCAGGCGTAGGCGCTAATTGCTTATTGCATTCAGATAGTTGGGAATTTTGATTCACAGAGACATGATGCATGAGAGCGAGAGAGGAATTCCCTATGAAGCGATTAAAGGAACTTTTAAACCCGCGAGATAAAAAAACAAAAAAAAACACCCGCGCGAATTTATTATATTTAAAGGAGTGTTGATAACAGAATTGGTTTGTGAAGATGATTACGTAACATTGTAGCTGCCCTGATACTTTTACGCGCAAATGAAGTGTTACGTGGCAATCGGAGAATGACTGAGCGTTGTCACCGGTGCACAGCGGCGGCAGAGTCACGATTTTTGTTACCAAAATGCTTTTACTGATAGTAACCTAATGATTTTACACTCTCAGCACTCGTTAGGAATACGAGTTTGCACAACCGTTAGATTTGAACGATAGTTTGCTAAATATCAGCGCTGGTGCATCATGGGAAATGAAGTTTACACTACTGGAACTGATTTGTTGCTCTTAATGGGCATTTCTAAACCGATTTAAGTAAGTGATTGTATTCTCATCTAAATGATAATATCTTGGAAAATGATGAAACTGATTATAATTAGTATATATATACCATACACACAAAAAATATATATACTGTCATTTACTTTCCCTCATGTTGCTTAAAATCGGCATGACTTATTTTTTAACACCATTCATTTGCATTGTAAACCTTATTTTACATACAATGCAAGTGAATGGTGACAGTCCGGCTGCCGTTCTCTATTGCCAGAGTTTTCATTTTGAGATTAACTATTACTTTATTTGTGTATTGACTGCATTTTTATATTTCTTTCCATGTAGATTACATCAAAGGTAGCGGTTTTGTTCATAACTGTGCAATACAATGTAACAATTCCAGCAAATGGTAAGTATGTGGCCCATTTATATATATATATATATATATCATTTGCACTCTAGTTTCTTTTGGTCTGTTTGTATAGCTGGAGTATATATTTTTTTCCTTTCTATTTGTACAATTTTCTGTATCATTGTTGTTTTTATTTTAATTAAAAACACAACAAGATTATCAGAGTTTTTGTCTAACAGCTCTACTAATGATGTTTATAAGTGAACTGATAATTGATGGCACTGACACTTACTGTGGCTGTTATAAGAGCGAGCTAGATATTGTAAAAAAACAACTCCATCTTTTTGTTTTATCATGATTATCTCCTTTTATTTTGTAAGAATAATGCTCACTTCCAAAGTAAGGTGTAAGATCGAGTGCATTGGTTCTGTTATTCATTATCTTGCTGTTTGCGTTTGGCCAAACAAATCAGTTCTGTCTATACTTAATTAAATCAAGAAGTTACCATGCTTGGCCATACTAAGTGTGCAATCATGCAATTTAGCATTTAATAAGACAGCATTATGATCTTTTTTTTATGCTTGCTTTTTGTTTGTATCATGGTTTTTAGGAGGTCCAGAGGAAACAGCAGTGAATTACTTCCATTACGGTCTGAAAGATGTGGCCACTGTCTTCTTCTACATGTTGGTTGCCATTATCATGCACGCCATTATTCAGGAATACGTGCTAGATGTAAGTATCCTGTATAAACTGAATAAACTTGCAATGTTTATCTGAAACAACGAACATTTGTCCATAAATGTTCGTGTGCATCTTAATAGTGTTTTGGTGCAACACTGTTAATACTAATAAATGTTTTGCCATTTATTTGAATCCACGACTGTTCAGAAAATCAACAGGAAGATGCACTTCTCCAAAACCAAGCACAGCAAGTTCAATGAGTCGGGTCAGCTGAGTGCCTTCTACCTCTTCTCCTGCCTGTGGGGAGCCAACATTCTTGTTTCTGTAAGCGCGTCACTACTCTGCTTCATATAAATATGAGCTTGTGTCCAGGTCGATGTTTATAACGGTGTCTGGAAGATTCATTTGACTTATTCTGCTTCATCTGAAGGAGAACCTCCTGTCCAATCCCGTCAGCCTTTGGGATGGTTACCCGCATACTCTTATGCCGTAAGTACAGCTGTCTGTGCTGCTGGGAAGTGCAGGTGAATTTAAATGCATAGCATGTTTACATTTAAAATAATGGAATGTTGATTAATGAAGGTAAAGTGATGGGTGTTTCAATGTGGGCCATGAAATGGTGGAGGTTCATATTCCATCTCGCGTCACATCTACCGATCTGCTGCATGAGCACTAATAAGATGCATCTTCTTTGGTAAACTGATCTGCCGGGCTGGTTCGCATGGAGAAGACCATTCAAAAGATTTCTCAAGACTCCTGATCAAATTATCTTGCATTAGTCTACCTCTAATTCTCTCTTCTGATTTTTGTAGACCTACTGTATTTAACACACAGCTTGCAAATGCAATTATCATTGATGTTTGACTTCCATGAGTCGTGGAGATGCTAAAGTTGTTGCTTGTCTTGTTTTAGGTTCCAGATGAAGTTCTACTACATCTGTCAGCTTGGTTACTGGCTTCATGCTATCCCTGAGCTCTACTTCCAGAAGACCAAGAAAGTAAGCAAGCAAAGTGTTTGAGGATGCGCAACATGCATTGAAAACCATATTCATGCATCCTGCTATTGTGACCGGACTGATTTCCCTTTCCAGTGGCTTTGTTTTTACCAAACATTTACTTGACGGAAATTCAGTGAAGACATGACAATAGACAATCACTGTGGACATTTTTGGATGTGCATACATGGAACCGTTTTAGGGGATAGTGTTTATTTGGATGTTTTAGTAAGTTTTGTATGTTGTTTTGTTTTATTTTTCAGGAGGACATTCCTCGTCAGCTTGTTTATATCAGCCTTTACCTGATTCACATCACAGGGGCCTACGTTCTGAAGTAAGCAATGTTTATTAATCATCATAAACGGTTGTCAGGGCACACATTATTTACTACAAAATAAATGACATGTTCACTTGAACATTAAATCGAATCGATCCAGAATCCTGCTCTAAATACTAGGGATGCTCCGATCAATCGGCCGGAGTTCGGTATCGGCCGATAATCACGTTTTATGACTCGATCGGTACTCACTAACTTGGCCGATCTCACAAACCGATCGCAATTTGATGACGTCAACGCGTGACTACGTACATGATGCGTGGGGACATAAATGATTTGGCGCTGCAGTCATGTCATCGCCGGTGTGGAAATGCTATGACGTTTCGAGAAACAATGAAAAATTAGCTATTTGTTGTGTATGTTTTGCATGATGATATGATGAATGAATGGTTCAACAGCAGATTCAGTGACGTTAGAGCTGTGGCGCGTTACGGCTCCACTGGAACCGGAGCTGATCGTGGCCGCTCTAGTCAGTGTGTTTATCAGCCAGCCGCGGCACGTTTCTGAAGCGGCTCTCCGCGCTGCTTGGCTAAAAATAGTCTTTTGTGAGTTGTTACAGCATGGAGGACGGAACAAAATCTTGTCGGAGCCGTAAGGAATAACGGTAACATAACACGCTGACCCTGGGCTGCTTATAAATGAACATTTATTTATAAAACAAAATATCTTCTTTGGCCATATTAGCCTACTCAATAGCATTAACACAGGTTTTACTCCTTTCAAACTTTATCTGGAATGTCACCGTTTCTGTCACTGCAACTTCCCGATCAGGTGAATGAACACACACACACACATGAAATCGTCTACCTCGTGAAAAAAAAATGGAGTTAATATTTGCATAATTTATGCTTTATTTTATCCACCTGCAAATAATCAGAATGCATTTTTTATTACCCGACCCGTGGATATAGGAAAAGCAAAATATGTTTGCTGCGTAAATCAGATGGACTTATTAGAAATGCTAATTAATTCTCTGCCAGCAGAAGGTACTTTAAAGTGGGAGAAACAGAGGTTTCCCCAGTAACGGCAGTACAAAAAGCAGTGCTGAGCTCACAAACGCTGCTTTATCAGGCATATAACATGCAAGATGAAATGAAAATGACATTGAAAATTTTCCTTCAGAAATACAGTGATATAAAAACACCCGCACCTTTTAAATGTGCAGTACGTGCTCATGTTTATTCAACGAAGCCTTTTGGAAAATCTGTCAGTTTTGATATTGTGGCGAGCGCCACAAATAAATGTATGGGAAACACATCCCACAGCACAACCACCTGAGCCCAACTTCAGTCTACTCATCACCTTAACTTTAACTGCGTTTGTAGCCGGCGCCATAGCCAGACTGATAAACAAACACAAAAGACTGGAAGTTAACTCCAGGCCAGGTGCGCGTGCGCCCGATGAAACGTCTATATAAAGCTTGAAGCATCAGCATCGGTATCGGCCGATCACCATGACAAGAAATAGGTGCTCAGTATCGGCTGCAAAAATCCTGATCGGAGCATCCCTACTAAATACTCTACCGCTCAAAAATTTAGAAGGCAGTTTTATATTCAAAAAATTAGCACATTAAATTGATCAAAAGTGATGATAAAGACATTTATAATGTTACAAAAGATTTCTATTTCACTTTCAAATAAATGAGACTTGCTATTTGTCAAAAAATCCTGAAAAAGGTCTCATGGTTTCTACAAAAAATTAAGCAGCTCAACTCTTTTCAACGTTGATAATAATAACCAAATCAGCATATTAGAATGATTTTTGAAGGATCATGTGACACTGAAGACTGGAGTTATGACTGCTGAAAATTCAGCTTAGCCATCACAGTAATTAAGTTTTAAAATATATTAAAATGGAAAACAATTGTTTTAAATTGTAATGATATTTCATAATATTACTGTTTTTACTGCATTTCTGATCAAATAAATGCAGCCTTTGAGTATTTTTTTCCCCCAAAACACATAAAAAAAAAACCTTACTGACCTCAAACTTTGACATCAGGGGCCATATGTATAAACCTGCTCAGAGTAAAATTTTAGTCATAATTGTGTCAGAATGATGTAATTTTACTCTTATTCCAAGACTTAAGAATAAGTGAGGTTCTGAAGTGTTAAGACTAGGTCTCGGCTCCTAAATGATTTAAGAGAGCTGGAGAGGTCTCCTAACCTAGTTAGGAATAACAAGATGGCAGCAAAGAGGAGGAAACGCATGCTTTCCAATGAAGATATGACGTATTGGAGTTATATGATGATATGGAGTTGATGAAACGATACAGAAACACCAGCATCATGATAGAGGTCACCGACACTCAGCCATCCATGGAGCTGACCTCCATTACGGGTTTGAGCATCCCTGCACCACTGATAACCCTATTGATAAGATCAGCTAGACTGATTGTTGTTGGTTAGTGCTGGATTGGTGCTAGTCTAGCTAGAGGAGACCAGCAGAACCAGGCTGTTCACTAGCAATGACATGGCCATTAACATGCTCTTTTTGATGAAGCTAGATAGCAAAAGAACATTTTGCTGGCTAAGCTACTTAAAAATCCTAGTAGTAACACCACCAAATGAGTTCATCCTCAGATTTGACTTGTGACTTTGATTCCGTTGTATTTCTCATATTTTTTTCATAAAGATTTTTAGCAAATTAATTATTTCTATTTTATATATTCCAATATATTCTATAGAAGATCTATAATACTTAATGTAATACAATATTATAATAATGTAATATTACATAATAGGGATGCTCCGGTCGATCGGCCGGAGATCGGTATCGACCGATAATCACATTTTATGACTCGATCTCACAAACCGATCGCAATTTGATGACGTCAACGCGTGACTACGTACATGATGCGTGGGGACATAAATGATTTGGCGCTGCAGTCATGTCATCGCCGGTGTGGAAATGCTATGACGTTTCGAGAAACAATGAAAAATTAGCTATTTGTTGTGTATGTTTTGCATGATGATATGATGAATGAATGGTTCAACAGCAGATTCAGTGACGTTAGAGCTGTGGCGCGTTACGGCTCCACTGGAACCGGAGCTGATCGTGGCCGCTCTAGTCAGTGTGTTTATCAGCCAGCCGCGGCACGTTTCTGAAGCGGCTCTCCGCGCTGCTTGGCTAAAAATAGTCTTTTGTGAGTTGTTACAGCATGGAGGACGGAACAAAATCTTGTCGGAGCCGTAAGGAATAACGGTAACATAACACGCTGACCCTGGGCTGCTTATAAATGAACATTTATTTATAAAACAAAATATCTTCTTTGGCCATATTAGCCTACTCAATAGCATTAACACAGGTTTTACTCCTTTCAAACTTTATCTGGAATGTCACCGTTTCTGTCACTGCAACTTCCCGATCAGGTGAATGAACACACACACACACATGAAATCGTCTACCTCGTGAAAAAAAAATGGAGTTAATATTTGCATAATTTATGCTTTATTTTATCCACCTGCAAATAATCAGAATGCATTTTTTATTACCCGACCCGTGGATATAGGAAAAGCAAAATATGTTTGCTGCGTAAATCAGATGGACTTATTAGAAATGCTAATTAATTCTCTGCCAGCAGAAGGTACTTTAAAGTGGGAGAAACAGAGGTTTCCCCAGTAACGGCAGTACAAAAAGCAGTGCTGAGCTCACAAACGCTGCTTTATCAGGCATATAACATGCAAGATGAAATGAAAATGACATTGAAAATTTTCCTTCAGAAATACAGTGATATAAAAACACCCGCACCTTTTAAATGTGCAGTACGTGCTCATGTTTATTCAACGAAGCCTTTTGGAAAATCTGTCAGTTTTGATATTGTGGCGAGCGCCACAAATAAATGTATGGGAAACACATCCCACAGCACAACCACCTGAGCCCAACTTCAGTCTACTCATCACCTTAACTTTAACTGCGTTTGTAGCCGGCGCCATAGCCAGACTGATAAACAAACACAAAAGACTGGAAGTTAACTCCAGGCCAGGTGCGCGTGCGCCCGATGAAACGTCTATATAAAGCTTGAAGCATCAGCATCGGTATCGGCCGATCACCATGACAAGAAATAGGTGCTCAGTATCGGCTGCAAAAATCCTGATCGGAGCATCCCTACTAAATACTCTACCGCTCAAAAATTTAGAAGGCAGTTTTATATTCAAAAAATTAGCACATTAAATTGATCAAAAGTGATGATAAAGACATTTATAATGTTACAAAAGATTTCTATTTCACTTTCAAATAAATGAGACTTGCTATTTGTCAAAAAATCCTGAAAAAGGTCTCATGGTTTCTACAAAAAATTAAGCAGCTCAACTCTTTTCAACGTTGATAATAATAACCAAATCAGCATATTAGAATGATTTTTGAAGGATCATGTGACACTGAAGACTGGAGTTATGACTGCTGAAAATTCAGCTTAGCCATCACAGTAATTAAGTTTTAAAATATATTAAAATGGAAAACAATTGTTTTAAATTGTAATGATATTTCATAATATTACTGTTTTTACTGCATTTCTGATCAAATAAATGCAGCCTTTGAGTATTTTTTTCCCCCAAAACACATAAAAAAAAAACCTTACTGACCTCAAACTTTGACATCAGGGGCCATATGTATAAACCTGCTCAGAGTAAAATTTTAGTCATAATTGTGTCAGAATGATGTAATTTTACTCTTATTCCAAGACTTAAGAATAAGTGAGGTTCTGAAGTGTTAAGACTAGGTCTCGGCTCCTAAATGATTTAAGAGAGCTGGAGAGGTCTCCTAACCTAGTTAGGAATAACAAGATGGCAGCAAAGAGGAGGAAACGCATGCTTTCCAATGAAGATATGACGTATTGGAGTTATATGATGATATGGAGTTGATGAAACGATACAGACTTGATGGTCAATTCTTTCTGTAACTGACCAAGTAAGAAATGTATTAACTTCTTCCACTCTACAAATCAATGCTCTACCTGCAGAAATGAAAGTAGTAATTACATTTTTTTTGGGCTGGAAAAATGCAGCAATGCACCGGTGGTGATGGTCTTATATTGTGGTACTAACCCCACCAAACACAACAGTGACCAAAAGTGATGTGTGTAGGTTTTTTTATTTTATTTTTACGATCCCACATTTTCACTTAAACCATCAAAATACGAGGGGGAAAAAAATCACTGACCGGTGTTGCCAACTGCTTTCAATTGAAAGCTAAAACAGTTGCTAAATGTTACTAGATTACATCATAATTGCGAGTTCATATAAATATACAGGTGCATCTCAATAAATTAGAATGTCATGGAAAAGTTCATTTATTTCAGTAATTCAACTCAAATTGTGAAACTCGTGTATTAAATAAATTCAATGCACACAGACTGAAGTAGTTTAAGTCTTTGGTTCTTTTAATTGTGATGATTTTGTCTCACATTTAACAAAAACCCACCAATTCACTGTCTCAACAAATTAGAATACTTCATAAGACCAACAAAAAATAACATTTTTAGTGAATTGTTGGCCTTTTGGAAAGTATGTTCATTTACTGTACATGTACTCAATACTTGGTAGGGGCTCCTTTTGCTTTAATTACTGCCTCAATACGGCGTGGCATGGAGGTGATCAGTTTGTGGCAATGCTGAGGTGGTATGGAAGCCCGTGAGGCAAATAGTGGTCACACCAGATACTGACTGGTTTTCGGATCCCCCCGGCCCCCCCAATACAGTAAAACTGCACAATTTAGAGTGGCCACCTGTGAGGTGGATGGATTATCTCGGCAAAGGAGAAGTGCTCACTAACACAGATTTAGACAGATTTGTGAACAATATTTGAGAGAAATAGCCCTTTTTTGTACATAGAAAAAGTCTTAGATCTTTGAGCTCAGCTCATGAAAAATGGGGGCAAAAACAAAAGTGTTGCGTTTATAATTTTGTTCAGTGTAGATAAGGTTTGTCCAAGAAATTTATTTTGTTGCTAGGGTTTTGAAAAAAATCTCAAAAGGGGTGAGGAAGTCACTAAATCTAGTGATGGCCAAAAATTATGACCACATTGGCATGTTTCATTGCATTATTATAAAACTATTGATTCTAAACAAATATGCAATATGCTTACAAAATCTTTTTTTTAATTAAGGTTGAAGATGTCAAATTTCCTAGGCTGGCAGTTTTGACCACTGCTATATGGCAGTTCTTTGACTTTCCAACTGACCGTCAAACCATGCTGCAAAAACAAGCCACTTTCATGAGGATTGTAAGCTTTCCTGGAGTTGTTGGAGCTGCTGATGGAAGTCATGTTCACATCAGTGCTCCAACTGTAAACGAGGAGACATACCATTAGAAAACAATTTCAAAGCATCAGTAACAATTTGTAATTTTGCACAATGCAAAGCATTTTTTTAAATGTAAATATTAAAATAGTTCAGTGTCTTAATTAAATAATTGAATTGTAGTTACATTAAATGATTAGTGTTGTGCTGCTGTGACTTCACATGAGCAGGCTCACTATTGGCTGTTTCAGAGGTCGAGGGCAGCCATTTTGGGCTAACATCATTGTAGTCCTTAGTTTGCAACACTTAAAGGGATAGTTCACCAAAAAATGAAAATTTTATGTTTATCTGCTTACTTTCAATCATGCTCATCAGAGGATAAATGAGCCCTGGTGGTGCCGGTTGCGCCAGCTCCAGTTCACAGCAGCGCTGTATTATACTGTTCCCCCTTTCCAGGCATTTCCTTCCCCTAGTATGGATTACACACCACCCCAAATTATTTATTATTCAGCTTCTCACTCACCTGGACCCTATTGAGACCAGGCAACTGTGCGGTTGTGTGTGTAAGGGGACATTGAATTACCCTTAACGAAAGAACCCAATCTATACCAACTGATTTGGTGTGAATGGCTGAAGAATGGTGTTTAGTTTCTATATGCCAGTAACTGAGGGCAACATGGCCCATGACGTACACTTTGATGAAATCTATGGACACAAATTAAAATGTGATTATCGATACTGATATGAAAACAAAGCCATAATAGAGAAATGACAAAAACAATCTGAAGAATCCCTTCCTCACAAAAGCACAATGCTAGATTTTTAAGCAATGGCTTACATAAAAATGACAGTTCACATAAAAATGGAAAACACAGTAGTTCTTGTCATTATGTCAAACTGCCATAAAACCAGCAGGTCTGAATGTGCATCCGCAAATAAGATTAGAGAGCTACGCTGTCAAGGCAAAAAGAGTTACGACCAATAGACCAGGGGTTTTCAATCATTTAGATGACACTGAAACCCAAATGTGATCATCCTGGTGTGAGGGTCCCCCATCCTGAAGTTTAAAAGGCAGCAACTGTGAATATTTTCATGTATAAAGATCCAATTTATAAAAATTATATTTATGTAAAATATGATGTGTTTTCTACTCACTAGTATTGTACTGGTAGATGTGTTATCTATCTATTTATCTATCTATCTATCTATCTATATATATATATATATATATCACTTTTTTTTTTTTTTTTTTAATTAAGGTTGAAGATGTCAAATTTCCTAGGCTGGCAGTTTTGACCACTGCTATATGGCAGTTCTTTGACTTTCCAACTGACCGTCAAACCATGCTGCAAAAACAAGCCACTTTCATGAGGATTGTAAGCTTTCCTGGAGTTGTTGGAGCTGCTGATGGAAGTCATGTTCACATCAGTGCTCCAACTGTAAACGAGGAGACATACCATTAGAAAACAATTTCAAAGCATCAGTAACAATTTGTAATTTTGCACAATGCAAAGCATTTTTTTAAATGTAAATATTAAAATAGTTCAGTGTCTTAATTAAATAATTGAATTGTAGTTACATTAAATGATTAGTGTTGTGCTGCTGTGACTTCACATGAGCAGGCTCACTATTGGCTGTTTCAGAGGTCGAGGGCAGCCATTTTGGGCTAACATCATTGTAGTCCTTAGTTTGCAACACTTAAAGGGATAGTTCACCAAAAAATGAAAATTTTATGTTTATCTGCTTACCCCCAGGGCATCCAAGATGTAGGTGACTTTGTTTTTCAGTAGAACACACATGATGATTTTTAACTCCAACCGTTGCAGTCTATCAGTCGTATAATGCATGGCAATGGTAACAAAATCTATGAGAGTAAAAAAAACATGCAGACAAATCCAATTAAACCCCGTGGCTCGTGACGACACATTGATGTCCTAAGACACGAAACGATTGGTTTGTGCGAGAAACCGAACATTATATCTTTTTTTTTACCTCTAATACACCACTATGTCCAACTCTCTTTGGGCACGCGCACGGCATCCGGTGCGTGAGGTGTGTATGCGCTCAAACAAATCAAACAAATTGGAATAGGTTTTAAGAGAAAACTCTTAGCTAACAACTTTTACTGCTATTTAGAAGAACTCTTAGTGGTAAGATAAAATGTTTTGTGAATACGGGCCCAGATATTTTTGATTGGCTGTTGTTACACCTGATTATGACATGGTGTAAAGTTAATTCCAAAAGTATGCATAATGACAGGAAATGACACTTTTTAAAGACTAATACAGCATTTTCATTCATGTTTAAACCATTAATGATGTGTTTTCTAGTCTGAACCGGTTGGGCCTGGTGTTGCTGGTTCTGCATTACTTTGTTGAGCTCCTCTTCCATCTATCCCAACTCACTTACTTCAGCAATGAAGACAGACAGACCGGGTGAGTGCTATTCATTACACAGACCAAGTCCAGCTGATAAACACCTCTACTGATTTTTATTGTGCACTGATAGATTGAATATCAGCACATTTCTGTGTTTGAACTCAAGAAAGGATGACCATTATGAAGCATTTTGTGTATGTTAACAGGTTTACAGTTTGGGCTGTTCTGTTTGTGCTGGGCCGGTTGTTGACTCTTTCCCTGTCTGTTCTCACTGTGGGCTTTGGACTGGCCGGAGCAGAGAAGCAGGGTCTGAACCTCGCAGATGGAAGCTTTAATGTCCTGGTTGTTCGGTAAGCAGGGTGAAATTCATCTGGTTGTATTCCTTCATCATTGCAAAGGAAAGGAAGGAATCATTAAGATCAATCATGCAAATGTCTTAGCATTTTGGATTGCTCTTCAGAAATCGAAAACTTTCAGCATTTTTTCAAGAAGCAATTTTTAGCAACTTATTATAAACCAAGTGCCTTGTCATGTGATATGTTTGAATTTCTGTAGAGCTTTAAAGGAGGAAAATCTCTGTTAAAATCAAATGGTTTGCACCATGCTGGTTTTGTGGTATGTGCAATGCTGTCCAAAAGTAATTTGCACAGTTTAGTTTTGAAGTGTTTGGTTTTCAGTGTAAAAGTGCAGAGTGAGAGATGATAACACCGTTGTGTAGCCCCCAAAAAAATCCTCTTGGCATCAAATATAACAATTTGCTCTAGTGGCCCAAAATTTCCAGTCAGCCATTAAAAAAAGTCTCAACTCATAATACGCATAATATATAATCACATTATAAAAGCTTTTCTACTTAAAGTGAGAGCCTTTTGGATGAACGTGATTCATTAAAACACCAGATGATGGAAAAGCAATGATGACCTTTTGCTTTATTATTGTTGGAGTTGTTTGTAATGGCACTCTGTTTTTCTCAGGGTGACTGTCCTGGCTGCAATATGCACCACTCAGGCTTTTATGATGTGGAAATTTATCAACTTCCAGCTGCGACGATGGAGAGAACACGCACAGACTCAGACCTTAAAGAAGAAATCATCCTCTTCTAAGAGCAAATCAAAGAAAGGTCAGTATTGCCCACTTAAGATCAGTTTACACGTTTATTAAAATACCACACGCTATTCTAATGTTCCAGTTAGGGGTGGGCGATATGAGTCATTTTCGAGGCTGCTGCCACTTTATTTTACCAATATACAGACATGCATCTGATTTTCTCCCAACTGTTTACATTCACTTAAGACATAAGCGTTTACATAAATATATCTGACCATCGAAACGCAGAAAGCCAATAAAGACAACTAAGTTCTGAATTGTATGTTGTCTGAGAGATGTGTATGTTTTGGGTGTAAGTCAGCGCAAGTACTGTACCGAGTTCTTTTTTGCGGCTTATTGCACTTAAAGGGATAGTTCACCCAAAAATGAAAATTCTGTCATTAATTACTCACCCTCATGTTGTTCCAAACCTGTAAGTCTTTCGTTCACATGGACTTTTTTTAACGATGTCCTTACTATATTTCTGGACCTTAAACACGTTGCTGTCTATGGAGGGTCAGAAAGCTCTCATATTTCATCAAAAATACCTTAATTTGTGTTACGAAGATGAACGAAGGTCTTACAGGTTTGGAACAATATGGCGGTGAGTAATTAATGACAGAATTTTTATTTTTGGGTGAACTATCCCTTTAATAACACTATTTAGCAAAGCACATCTAGAATCTACATGTAGCAATAAAGTACTTCAGGGTGTACTGTATTGTGAATATAGAGTTGTTTTTAAAGCGTATTGCTTTTATTAAGCAAAATCATTACATTTAAAGATAATTTGCCTAACAATGAAAATGGTCATTTACTCACCCTCAAGTTCTTCCAAGCCTGTATGAATTACTTTCAGCTATTGAACACAAAGGAAGCATTTTGGTAACTAAACAGTTGATGGTAGCCGTTGACTACCATAGTATGGAAGAAAATAAAATACTATGAAAGTCAATGGCTACCGTCCACTCTTGGGTTACCAACATTCTGCAAAATATCTTCTGTGGTCAGCAAAAGAAAGAAACTAATTTTAGGAACAAGTGGAAGGTGAGTAAATGGTGACAATTTTCATTTTTGGGTGAACTATCTCTTTTAGTGGCATCTTTCTACCTAGAGATGCACTACAGGGCAAACGTTTGAAATATTTTTTTTTACTTTTTGAAAGAAGTCTCTTATGCTCATCCAGCTGCATAGATCTATTCATAAATATAGTAAAAACAGTAATATTGTGAAAAATGATTACAATGTGACTTGGGCTGCACGATATATTTCACCATCGATATCGTGATGTGTGCATCTGCGATAATCACATTGCGAGATGTGCGATGTTTAGTATACTGATCATTATATTTATACTGATTGTTTTCTTTGAACACACAGACACCGTGTCTACACCGGACGTGAAAAGCGACCGTTGCAAATCATTTGAACTTTGTGTCAGTTTGTCATAAATAAAACTGTCGGGGATTTGTCATGTCACGCCACATCTAGTGTATACAGCATCACTGATTATATTGTGTTCTTTAATATTTTGACGAGTCGTGCCGCGCCGCACGCGTCTGGTGTACACGGTGAGAGCCACGCAGATGCATGTGAACACTGAATTCCATTCACTTGCGCGTCTATTTGTGCCTGAAATTATGTCAAAATGCATGTCTCTGCAAGTATCCTTGTAAACACAGGTGCTTATGGTTTAGGTGAAGGTAAACAATTGAGAAAGAAAATGGATGTGTGTAACAGTATATGGGTTCACAGCAGTTTAATGTTCCTGAGGCTTTCTGTGTCACGAATGTTAATCAAACAACAAAACACAGAGGGAAAAAATCACTTTCGTAGCTTTAAAACTGATTTATTAGATTTAATTTATACAGTGAAGACTATGTAGTGTTATTTTACATTTGATTATTCAATGTCTGTACCTGAATACTATTAGACTTACCTAAAAAAAAAATATATAAAGCACTGTTTATTTCATTTGTATCTTTGTTCTGTTATATTTATCCATGCTTGCAATTTGTTTTTCTATGCTGATTTACTCGCCTACAAAATCACCCTAATCATTGATTATTTTTATTCAAGTCATCTGGTGTTTTTTTTTGTTTTTTTCATATCGCAATATATATAGCAGAAACTAAATGTGTATATATATTTTTTTTCAATATCGTGCAGCCCTAAATGTGACGTGAAGTCCAAGTCATGGTAACCCATACTCAGAATTTGTCTTCCGTATTTAACCCATCCAAGTTTGTGCACACAGATTAGGAGCAGTGAGTAGTGAACACACACACAGCCATAGCAGTGGTGCCCGAAGAGCAATTGGGGTTTAAGTGCCTTCCTCAAGGGCACCTCAGATGTGGGTATTGAGTGTGGCAGAGAGCGCTGTTCAGTCACTTCCCCCACCGACATTTCCTGCCAGTTTTGAGACTTGAACCTGCAACCTTCAGGTTACAAGTCTCTATGACTCTCTAACCATCAGGCCACAACTGCCCTTATTTAAAAGAACTGTTGTCATTGCTGGAGTAATGACTGTTGAAAATTCAGCTTTGCCACTACAAAAATAAATAACATTTTTAAATATATTAAAACCGAAATAAGATCTTTTAAATTGTAATTATTTCTGATTTTGTATTGCTTTTACTGTATTTTTGATCGAATAAATGCAGCCTTGGTGACTATAAGAGACTTTTTTTTCAAAAACCTAAAAGAATTGATTATCCCAAACCTTTGAAAAATAGTAACAGCACTTCAGGTGTCCAGACAACAAAATCACTTGCATCAAGCATCTTCTCATTTGTATTTTCACAGCCAATGGTGTGAACGGATCTGTTGGTGCCAGTGGAGCAGATTCCCCAAGAGCGAGGAAGGAGAAGTCATCATAAACTGCTCTTGGTCCCAACTTCTGTCCTGGCTGAAATCAGCCTGATCATTCCACTCCCTCCTCTTTGTCCAACAGTTTATCTGTAGCCCCTTTTCCCTTTCCCCTCTTGTTTATCTGAAGAAAGAAAAAAAACAACTTGCAATATGGCAACATCCTGCTCCTTGATACTAAATGCTGTATTTCATGAAGCCATCCAACTATTATGTCTCTTTGCAAGAAGGGCTTAAGGAAAAGTGGCTTTGGGGGATTTTGGAGGGGTTCTTTTTATTCTCCTCTACATTTGTTTCCTTATTCTGAAGGTCCATATGCTCTTTGCTTTATTTGCTGAATGCTGCATTTCAAATCCAAATCTATGATCCAGTCATACCTACAAAGAAAACATGAAAGCTGTGGGGAAAATGTAACTTATTTTTCCAAGTGCCTAACCATACATCATTTTGACAGATCAGAGAGGAATAATTCAGTATTTTAACTTGAGTTTGAAATCGGGGTTGTATTTAAAGTTCTCTGAAGGCTCACAGTTTTTGTTGAATCTATCCTATGCATTTAGAAGCACGTCTAATGTCTCTTCATTTGTGTTGTATAAACGCATTCACATTTTTCATTCGAAAAAAAGATCACAAGCAAAAATGTTCATTTGTTGCACTGTACTGCATTACTGGTCAAGGTAAGCAAAAAAAGTGTAATGCTCCACAAATGTTGTTAAATTAGCAAAGGATGATGAACAAAAGCTGTGTGCTTTTGATTTGGCAGTAGATAATACCTTTTATTCTTGAACTTGGCAAATCTGACTTTGCTGTTCGGTGTTGATAACACATGAAAATGTCAAATCACAAGTGTGTTCCAGTGCGAGACTGAAGTCAGGCTCTAAGGAAACGATTGTTTTGATTTAAGAACAACAGTACATAGAAAAAAGCACTGTCATCTCACATTTATTTTACCCAAGTACAACCAGTGAATACATTATTATAAATGTTGTTTTCACAGTATTTGTCCCCATTTCAATGTATTGGTTATTGGTCTATATCTGATTTACCACATTTTAGAAAATAACGCTCAAAACATTTTCAATATTATTTTTTGTTTTATTTTTTATACAAATTCGTGACAAGGGGTTGAACGGCTTGAACCCTCAAAAACAAAGTCAAGTTTTCAAACAGCGTTTCAGGAAATTTCTACTCCGAGTTGGTCAGAAAGCGCAGTAACCATAGCAACAGTCGTTCGAGAATCTATGGCATAGAAAAACGTTAGGCCTAATAATAATACAACAATTTGTTTGATCAAATTTTTTATTGAATAACTTAATACGTAATTCTCAAATGAAATACAGTAAAAGGGCACACTGAAAACTTGATTTATTTCATTTTGCTTCATGAGGTAATTTTCCTACAGATGTTGGTGTTGAACATGTAAACAGTTAGTGGCGCTGTTCGCCAAGCTTTTTCTTAGTTGTAAGCCCAGTGCTATTTATTGGTTTCGCAAATCACTCTGCGCGTATGCTGTGGGTATTTTTCATTAGCCAAAGTATAAAATATGAAACCAAAATAACATTTCTATTAATGCTTTCCTGAACTGACAGTACAGTCTCTTTCGGGACGTTTCGTTGCGACAACCCCGTGCTGTTTTTATACAGTCTACGGCTGTTTCACAATTATTGTCAAGCGCGTGCCAATCTGAAAGAGTGTGAACAGCGAATATTGCACAAGTCACTGTTTGCAGATTTCCTTTTGAGAGAATTTACATTCGCTGGAGACCTTTGATCGACACGGGTTGCAACTGTAGGATTCGTTTCGATTCGCCCGTACTTCATCTCGCTCGCTGGCTGGCGTTCACATGGAAGTATTTTATATAGGAAGCCAACCTGTCGCCGTGTGGATTTTGATCGGATACCTGACACATTTGGGGTTTATTGCTGTGCTGAGTAATCACGGTAAGCTTTGGCTTGCTGCCCGATCAAACAGTCACTGAACTCGTGGCCATTTGAGGTTTGTATCCTGGGAGAAAAGTAAGAATCGTCTGTGTATTTGATAACTCGATGCTGTTATGATACACGGTGGAGTACTAGACTATTGAAAACCCCTTATATAGGGGCTTCCTCGTTGTTTCTCACAGATGTGTATTACCTTTAAACGACGGCTAGAGATGTGGACTCATAATCGAGGAAATGTGTCTGATGAATGCATATATTACGCTATATAGCCTATAATAACATTTCCTTCAGTTATGTGACAATCAACATATTGATCGTTTTTCAGTATATGGGAGACTTGAGGCGATGAGATGTCTAGAAGGTGAAAAAAAAAATACTAGTGATGGATAAAACTGGATTTAAATGGACTATTTGCTATTCTCAGACCCAAGCGCTCTTGAATATTCTCTTATATGGTCAAGGCCTTAACTTGGTCAAAAAGGTTCTGATGTTAAGTTTGTACTTTGTTTTGTTAAAGTTGTTTTTGATTTGCTAAAAAATGTAGATTAAATGTATATTAAGAGTCATAAATCATAACACGCAGGATGTGGTGTATGGAGGTCTGGAAAGCAGTTTCGTGTGGGTCATCTAATGTGCTTTTTAATTCAGCTGTTATGATAATAGTGCAGATTGCGTCGGGTTTGGAATAACAACAACACCGGCTCGACCACTCGGGCACACTTTTTCCTCCCACAGCACCACTTTAAAGGCGAAAGCTTTTGTAAACTGGCCTTTCAACACTGTTTCGATTCCCTCCCGTAATATTACGAAACATCTCCTCGCAGTTTAAAAAACACAAAGACGGAAAATCCAATCCAACGGGTGAGCCGTGTCCTTACGTTTGCTGTATCATCATTTTGCCCCGTTGCTCACTGCAAGGTTGCTATGCAGGCTCGAGTAAGCGAGTAGATACTGGTGCCCATAGTATGTGGGGGAGGTTTTGCTGGCGAGATAAACAAGCAGCCAGCCATCGTTAGGCATAAGGCAGCAGAAACATGGCGGCGGCAGTTAACTATAATGCTGTTTCACCAACCCGAAGGTCAGAGCTGGACATAACGTGCAGGATTTAAAAGGAAACCAAACACTGTAAGTCCGACATGTTTGCAAATGTTGATTGTTTGCCGGTGAATGGCGGTTTTGGGGTGGCTTTATAACGCGATTTTTACACACTCGCTGCAGGATCCAATCACAGTTCCGCGGCGGCGGTATCCTGCATTAGCTTGCTAAACCAGCTACACTCGCTATTTCAGTCTGGCTACTTTGCAAAGTTAGAGAGTTGTGTTTTGCCTGTTGTCGCTGTGTAAACAAATCGCTTTGAGCGACCTGGAAGCGGATGCACGGCTGTTACTGTTTTAACATTTCAGTTGTGTCGCTGATTTACTTGATTCGCCCGCGCTGCTCGCGCGATTAAGTTTAGCCAGCTCCCCCCTCTTATTTGCCTGGCTAGCTTTAGCCTGCGAGCCTCCGTTTGACCAGGCGAGGAAGGCAAGTCCAACGATATTCAGTGGTATTTTAACTTTATCTGGCAGAGCTGTTACCTCGTAACGTGTGAATGGAGTTCCACTGGAATGCTTGTGTTACATTGGAGCCAGTCAGACTAACCGTTCTAAAGCGAGCCGCTAAAAGCAACAATGTAGCGTTCGCGGGCGCGTTCTGTTGAAAGTAAACGCGCGTTGATATTTGACAGTCTCTGCGTTTCGTTTCTGTGCGGGCTGAGATTAGCGAGTCAGCTCGAGCTACTGCACGCCACGGGTCGGTTTTCTGGAGCTCGACTGATTGAAGAAAGGAAAAGTTGGGGCGCCAGTTAGCTGGGAATGCTGCTAATTAGCATTTACCTCGTGATTAGCCTGAACTCCACTATTTTCGCAAGCGCTTATATGTGGAGCAAAGGCTGCTTTTGTCGTCCAGCTCACCGGGAGGGCTTTAGTTTGGTCGACAGAGTTCGTATCCGCCGTGACGAGGTTTAACGGTGGATGACGTCACGCCGCCGGGCAGTTCATTGGGTCTAGGTCACGTTTAGATGCACCTTAGCGTTTAAGTCCTAGCACCCCATATAGATGCATTTGGTCTTGAATACGTGTTTTTTTTTTATTTGTTTGTCTACATTCTATTGTTGTTGTTTTTTATCTCTCTCTTTCTTTCATCTCTCTTATTTAATTTTCATTATAACTTGGCAATATTGTGAGAATAGGTTATATATTTTTTCCCCTTAAGGATTCCAGTTCATTAACGATGCCATTGACGATTTTATTTTTATAACAGTTTACAATGCAAGTTCCATTTGTTAACTGCTTTGGTTAATATGAACTAACAATGGAAATTACTTAATTTTTTTTAACATGATCTAACAATGGACAGACAGCTGTATTTGTGGTAACTAAGTTAACGTTAAAGGGATAGTTCACCCCAAAATTTTAATTCTGTCGTCATGTACTCACCCTCATGTCGTTCCAAACCTGTATGAGTTGCTTTCTTATGTCGAACATAAAAGATGATATTCTGAAGATTGCTGGTAATCAAACCGTTGGTGGTTGCCATTGACTTCCATAGTAGGAAAAAAAAATACTATGGAAGTCAATGGCAACCACCAACTGTTTGATTACCAGCAATCTTCAGAATATCTTCTTTTATGTTCGACATAAGAAAGCAACTCATACAGGTTTGGAACGACATGAGGGTGAGTACATGACGACAGAATTAAAATTTTTGGGTGAACTATCCCTTTAACAAATATGAATAAATACAAATTATTGCTCATTGTTATTTTATGTTAGTTAATGCATCAACTAATGTCAAATAATATTAAAATATTTGGAAATTAGAAACACTATTCACTTTTACAGCCCTAAAATTTGATCAGAACAGTTACAACAAACCGGAAATAAATGACAAACAATGTAATATGCTATTAAAATGTGTGTTAAAAAATGCTTTTTAATAGAATCCTTGGTTCATTTCGAGTCACACGTGACAAAACACTTTTGATTCAGTAAGAGTCAGCTTGCTGATTCAAACTGAAGTGTTTTTGATTCACTATAAAGAACTGGTCCATAAGATATGTTAATGTAAAAAATCTTGTGTGATATAACTTGTGTTTGTTTGTTTGTTGGCTGGTTTTTATTGTATTTGTTATACTTGTATTTTTTTTAAAATCGTTTTTGCCATGAAAATAGCCTAAGATGCAGTCATGGCATTAAATAATATACTATACTGGTGATTCGTTTGGGAATCGGACTGCAATGGTTTGCGATTCAGTATAGCAGTGTTGCAGTGCAACTAGTAAATGAAACACTGCAAGAGTACTTTAGTATTTAGTATCAATATGTTCTGTTAACTGAATCGAATGTCATGACAGTTCTGTTTGAACCTGTTTCCGTTTAAGAACAGGTTCTCAGCTCCCAAACCCTATTGGTTTTCTCCATTGGTGGTTTATAAGAAATGATCTGCTTGAATGCACAAACTTGGAGCCTATGCACTGACAGCTGGTGTTCACCTCAGATTTGCATCAGTGCTGCTAAGAGCTGCAGTAGTGCGACTCAGCCTGTTGGACCAGTAGTTCAGTTCATGCTAGCTTTGTTACCCACCTCTTACATCATGCTGACACATTCCACAGTAGGGCTTGTGTGGTGAGCAAATGCTCCCACAGCCCAACATAAGAGTAATATGGCCATTGCTTTAATTAGTTTGACTTGTGAACAATGCAGAGTGTTGTTTTATAGTTTTATGTATATGCAAGCAAACTTGTTATTCTTAAACCTAAAATAGCCTTTTAAAAATAATTTGAACTGAAATAAATCTAAAATGCTTAAACTTGGACTTAAAAAAGTAATTTAAAAATAAAACCATACTAAGAAAAATATCAAAAGCACATTCAAAATTACTAAAATAAACAACGTTATTCTTAAACCTAAAATAGCCTTTTAAAAATAATTTGAACTGAAATAAATCTAAAATGCTTAAACTTGGACTTAAAGTAATTTAAAAATAAAACCATACTAATAAAAATATCAAAAGCACATTCAAAATTACTAAAATAAACAACCTTTACAATTCAAAAATAAAAGTACCCCCCCCCCCAAAAAAGACAATTTTGCCATTTCCAAATATTTTTTAAATTTACTAGCAATTTCTGAGTGAAATTGTTTTTATATTTTCTCAAGCCTAGTTTATTTATTTAGCTGTTTACCAATAAATAGGTCAAAAGCCTGTGGTATGGCCTTAAAAAATTCAGAATCTGTATGATTTCAGTTAGATTTTAGATAAATGTACTATCATTTTCTAAGTGAAAATTGTTGCTACATCAATTTTTTTTCTTTATTTATTTTCAGTGTATTAAAATAGTTTTTTAATTGAAATAAAGCTGAAATACTTAAACTTTGACTTAAAAATGTAAATAAATTAGAAATTTTTCTTGGCAACTAACTGACGTAAAAGAAGTTGTATAGCTAAAACTAGGGATGCACCGAATTTTCGGCCACTGAACATTATCGGCCGAAAATGCCATTTTCGGTTTTCGGCCAAAAGAGAAAAACGGCCGAAAATATGCATATAATATATATGGCGTGCCCCGCACCGCCCGGCGATGTTCAGCATGCAGGTTTCACTATCCTTGTCACTACGCGGTTTGATGCGGCGCTAAATATTCCACTCTGTGAATGTGCTTTTGTATCGCTCATCCTCACCAAAAGAAAGCAAAGTCCGCTCAAATCACACGCTGAAAGAGAATTTTTATGTAGTATACTTGTTCCTGTTTGCAGTAGTGCTACTGTGCTGTAATATGCTGTAGTACAGCTGTACTGGACAACACTGGTAAAATGATGCTACCCTCTCGTGACGCTATGCTCTGCTGCTCACATGCTCTGATAGTAATAGCTTTGTAGGACTATACATTATTTGGATAATTAATTAGTCAAAAACAACAACTTGATTCTGTTACATAGTGAATAAAAATTATATATTGA